GTTTTTTGACAAGGTGGTAAACACGTTTTGGCCATTAAAATATTTAACTGTTAAAAAAATATTTAAGTGAAAGCACAAATACATATAATGTGGGCGACTTTTTTATATATATACATATTTACTTTTAGGTAAATAATATTCTGAATATAATAATCATCAATCAGTTCACGCAAAGTAAGGTAAACTAAGTGCAGTTAATTTATATTTGCAATGCTTTTAAATTTTATTTTATTTGATGTGACTCAATGAAATAAATATATAAAGAGGCAAATGGGTCTGTAGTATATGGAGCTGAGTCTGATAATATTCCAAGATGAAGGCAGAGTGTATGTTGGTTTAGACATTACCAAAAAATTAATATGGAGAATTTTTCATTAATAAACCAATTTCAGTCTTATAGAAATATTCGTATTCTCATTATCAACAAAAAACATTCTTGCTTATCTACTTCCTATCTAAACACGTTTCATAAAGATGAGAAATGTTGATTATAAGCAAAGCTTTGTTGTGAAACACAATGAAAAGTTGGTTTAATTATTTATATATAATATAATTATAATATAATTAAATGGAATGAGTAAATATTTCAGAGCTCAGTATTTTTTTTTTTTTTTTTTTTTCATTAACAAAAGTAAGTAGTGCTAAATCGGTGTTGCTTTGCCCAGAACCAGTTTCTTATGCAACTCATGTTTATGTATATAAATAAATATACTCATGGGTTAGGTATACATATTTGATCAGATTTCAGTATAGCTCTTCGAAAAATGGTATGAGATGATAAGACCTGTTGATACAATGGATTTTTTGTTCGCAACTCTCGATAGATGATATATGTATGCAAGTTTAGCCAATAACTTGTTTACGACACAAATCGTTTCATCTTCGGCCTTAAGTTTCTAACGTGTCGAGGGTTGAAAAAGTTTCTATCGAGTAGAATCAACTGTCGAATATGTCCCAATGGCAGAAACAAGTATATCTGCTGGCTACTTCATAATTACACGATCAAAATACACGATTATTTATTGTAATTGAGTATGTCAATTATATATCTGTTAGTCGGGATATGCCTTACAAGACTCCTACAAAACTTAAACCTTGGCTACTATTTATCTTTAATAACGACCAATTCTTTGATTGTACAAAAAATTATAAACTATTTGCATATAAATGTTACCTAATAGGAATTTGTTGACAACTTAGCAGTTAATTAGAATTTGTCAGTTAATGGTTGAATGGATTTTTCTGAATTGATTGATGAACGATTTTTGTTTATGATGTTAGTAAAGGCTAAAATTATTGAGAATACGAATGCGATTAGTTTCTTAAGTCGAAACTGTAGTTTACTTATGATAAACCGTTTCCAAATAACCTCAAATATACTATGAATAGGAGCCCATTACGATATTTGCATATATAGACATTGATCTGGAACTTAGTTAGGGATCTTGCATTGACTTTTCTAATTGTTATGTGGTGTTAATGAGATCCCACACTCGTGAGTCATGTGGTGATTAATAAGTAGGTTTTCATGCTTGTGAACTAACTTTGCCTACTTATTTACACGTACATATATATGTATGTATGTATCTGCGCTCATACATCTTGAAGCGTAGTAAGGTGTGGAATTTCCATGACTTCTATAAGTCATTCGTGTATTAATTAGTTATACAAAGCTATTGACTGATGCCGGTAATGTAAAACATTATAGGTAGAATTGAATAGCTTTAGAATATTTTTGTTGTTATTAAATAATATATTACTTATATTCTACAGCGAAGCTTAGTCCGGGTCGTTAAGCAATTCTATTTAATTTTCCTAGATTATGCTAGCCTTGCCCTCTTAATCAGTATAGTCTTCCCCAGTCATTATACTAAAATTTAGATTATAATACAAATATTTTGTGTTTATATAGGATTTTGTTTTCATACAATAATGGAACACATTTTTCCACAATGGAGCTAATCTACTCCGTATAATAAATAGGGCGCTTCAATTTATAAAAAATTATGCATAATTTTATGATTTGTTTATTATTTATGTTACTCTGTAATCAAATAAGCATATCAAGCGCGACGCTTTGTAGTCGGTCTCGTTCTATTGTCTTAGCTTCTTAGTAGGGTTGATGGACTTTGCCAGCGAACAGAATGTTGCCGGTTGCCTCCTCCTCGATGAAGAACACAAACGGGCGGTTCACGTTGAACTCGACAATGGTCTGGGAGCCGCCGAATTTGTTTTCAATCTCGACGACGGTGGCGGCATAGGCTTCTGTGCCCTGCTCGTTGACATCGATGCCAGCCTTCTGCAGTATATCCGAGACTTTCACCTTGCCCGATACATCGGCGCCGCGCGTGAGACCAGGCAGTGAAGCGGTCGTCTCGAAAATCTCACGTACGCCCAGCTGTTGGAGTGTTTCCTTGAAGCTGCGCTTGTAGTCAAAGTGGAATTTCGGCAGCGTCACCTTGACCTTGACCTCCTCCATGGCCCACTGGGCGCTCTTGACCTCGTCGTTTTCCAGAGCCTGCAGCAGCTCATTAATACCGTCCGTGGCATGCGGCAGCAGCACAAACATTGAATTCTTGCCCTTGTACGGCAGACGCAGTATCTGTGCCCTCATCTTGTCTGAATTGTGATAATAGAAATATTCCGTTTGCTCCATATACTGGACGCGCGTCTGGGCATTTTGCGTACGGAAAAAGGCACCCTCAAATGTGTGATAGAACTGGCGACGCCACAAACCCTTGAAGTAGATCACGTTAGTCAGCAGCATTACGCATTCCTGAACAGTTTCCGGCGTGACGAGATTGTTTAGTCTTCCATCTGTGACATTGCTCGCCCACTCGTTGATGGCATAAGCCGCCGCCGGAGCATTGCCAAAGTCCAGAGCTTCGATATCGCCGTCGTAGAAGTGTTTCAAGGTGGCTGTGAACTTTTGCTGTGTCTCGATAAAGTTGTCCGTGAACAGTTTGGTTCGCACATTTAGTGTGTTGTACAGTTGATTCTCCTTCTTGAACGAGTTGAGGGTCTTGCGATAGAACTCGCGCACATTGTTCGTCGATCTGATGTCTGGCTGGGTGCTTATCAGCTCTTGCTGTGTCTTTGTATTGGTGCCCGATGCTTCCGAGAGCATCGCCAGAACCAATTTAATGGAGAACGGCGATATGATGACATTATTCTGCTGCTCCGTATCGTTCAGCAGCACCGCCTTCAACAGCTGCCATGAGAAATTGTCATGTGAGTCGCTGCGAAAGGGCACAAATGTATCAATGTCATCATAGGATGCTGCAGGCAGTGGCAGCGCTGCGGTCACTCCACTTGGCACCTGATCGGTGCGCGTCTCGAATACGCCTGTCGGCGTTGTCGCAGTGGGTATGGAGTTGCCAGTGACATGATGCGTTGAGGCGCCAATTAAGAGCATCAGCAATGGCAGCCAATAATTATGTGAACTTTTTATTATGTTTGTGTACATTTTTTCTTTGATTTTGTGTGTGTATACGCGTGTTTTCACTCCTTTTCGCAGCGGCGATAGCAATAGAATTAAGCTTAAAGAGCGACTTGGCGCTCAGCAGCAAAATAATGGAGAACCGTTTGGCGCACAGTTTCAACTGAGAGTGACTCAAAGCTCGCTGCGCGCAGGCCATTTTAAAAACCAGCTTACTGTTTAACATTGCTGTTGTTGTTGCTGTTGTTTTTACTGCTGCTGCTGCGCGGCTACTGATTTCGCGCTCTATTGCTTTAAAGGGACTTCCACTCACGTCAATATCTCGTCAGTTAGCGCTCTTTCTCTCTCTCTCTCTCTCTCTCTCACACACTCTATTGTTCTCTGTGTCACTCGTTTTAACTGTTGATTGATATGTAAATATGAACAAGAATGCTTGGATAAACGTAGACAGATAAGAGTCGCGCGGTTCGAAAGGAAGTCCGCATAGTTTCCAATCGCGTCAATAATTTTAAATGAGAAAACCCCAATACTTAATGAAGCAATGATATTATTAGAATACGTCCGTCAAATTACATAACTGAGTGTGTTTTTGGTTTAAGTGCTTTACGCACAAATAATTTAAATGAAAGCTGATTGCTATGACACACAGTGGCATGTGGCAACGCTAAAAGAACAGTGTTGTTTATTTCTTTATATCAGCTGTTGTTTTAAGCACACTTTTGCGTTGATGTAACAGTCGCCGGCAAATAGAGAAGAACTGAGTGGCTATTTTTTGTATAAATTAAGTTAATTTATTGTGCAATGCAAATACGTCGTCCTCGTGGTGTAACAGTACCACAGTTAATGGTTGTAACTGCAGTTGGTTTTCTAGGCGGTGTTTATATTTGGAAGCCACTTATATTGAGATTTAAGGACGAAAATAAAGCACAAAATAGCGAAACACCGACAACAACAGCAACACCAACACCAACAGCAAGAATACCAGCAGTAACAACAACAAGTTCGACAAAGTGGGGGAGCATTTCTGAATTTATATATGTATTATAGACGACTTATGTGCTACCATTTTCTCTTTCTTTTCAATTTGCAGATGAGCTTCATTAAACAATTTGCCTCAACGACTGTCGGTATGATGGCGGTGGCTATCGGCTCGACGATGGCCGTTTATTGCACTCACCGATTTTTTATTCAACCGTATCAGAGTAAGAAGCAGCGTTTGGAAGCCGAAGCCTGTGCGGAGTATATATTTCAACAGGAGTCCCAGAAGCGTTAAAGAGAGGCCGAGTATGATGGCTTTCTGTTTCAGAATTTCATAACAATTTTCTATTTACGAACCTAATTGCATACATTTTTAAATAGTATAATAGAAAATAGACTTAAAACGGTATTCAAATTGTGTGGAAAGTTTTTTACAGATCCCCAACAATCTTAGAGCCAGACTTTCAACTAGTAGTTCTTAAGGCTCACAGATGTTATTGTTAAAGCAAAAATATTTATCTTTAAGTTAATCAATCAAATGGAATTTTATTGGATGATTTATGAAATGAATTGAAATAAAATATAAATGAAACACTTAACTATAATCTGAGTATACACATATGTTTACAATTTTGAAATAAAACAGTATAAAAACCAATTTGACATTCTAAATTTGAAAAGATTTAAACATTTATCTTACTGATCCATAAAGCTCCAGAGCGCTGCGTTTTCGTAGCTGACGCGTTTGCTTGTGTTTCAGTGAATTTAACTTATCGCTGGGATAGAACTCCCATATCGAAAAGGATTCATCCATGCCAGCGGCGGCGAGCTTGGTGCCATCCGGACTCCACATCATGAAGATCGCGCCTCTATTATAATGGGTCAAAATATCCACAACACGATTCAGCGAGGACAGCACAAAGATCTCAAAGCAAGGACAGCCGTTTTCATCTGGAGAAAAAATATGCTTAAGATTTAGATGAACGTTATTAACAGCTTGATCTGTGCTGATCTAAACTTACCGCATTTATAGATATTAACCAGCAATTCGCCCGTGATCTTGCTAAATGTAATTGAATTGATTAGGATCTTATCATCGCCTCTCTGATAAAACGAAACAATTTCACGACGCGGCACATTGAATATGTAAATTGATGAAAGTTTTTTTTCAGCTGTAAAATTGAAAATTTGCTTAATATATAAAGAGTTTTGGAAATTTCGGAATCTTCAGCTGCTCACAAATGGCCAGTTCGGCGGCCTGCCATGGATGCCAGTCGAAGACGATGCCGCCCTGCTTGGCGCCCAGACGCATTATCACTTTGTATGACACGCCGTGGAATATATATATCTGGCCCTGGATATCGGCTGTGGCCAAGTAGCGTCTCATCGGCGAGAAGCGCATGCAGCAAATCCGTTTCGTATGTTGCCTCAGGACATGCTCGATGGTCATCGTTGAGAATTGAATGACCACAATTTGTCCGCTCATCGTGCCACAGAGAATCTCGTCGCCATCCTCACTCCACTCTATGCAGCAGATGGACTCGAAAGATCGAGGCAAATACTTGCCATTGGCAACCAGAAATTCCTTTGGTGATTGCAGCAGCCAAATCTCTAAAACTGAATGGTAGAAAGTTGTTAGGAGAAGAAATATAAGTGTATAATTGAGCAGAGTATCCTTTGTATTAAAGTAAAATAATATTTATGTGGAAGGCACCTTTGACCCATTAGGAAATATGATTAACATCGTTTTTAGCTTATATTCATAATTGTTCTTCATTCATCTATTATAATATTCACCTGGATTTTCACCATCCTTGCAGCCAATGGCTAAGTATTTGCCATTTGGTGAATATTTCAGTGAGCTGGTGCGTTCGACATTAAAAATCATGCTCGTATCATCTCGATTACGCCAGATAATTAGATTTTCGTCAAAGGACACGGCCATCTGATCATTCACAGACCAGTCCATCATATTGAGATCTATGTTGGTGACGATGATATTATAAATTAGACTGGAAACTGGAGACTCTGATATCGTTAGTCTTACCAAATGTCGTGCATAGCGCAGGCATTTCGTTTGTGGTTGTGGCAAATGCTACGGGCCGGGCTCTTGGCTTACAGTACCAATCGCTGTCCGTCTTCTGCCTTCCCTTTCGGGAGTATTTGCACTGCATATCGCTGAATTGCAGCAATCGATTCTCTTCGATGTTGAACACTTTATTCATGGTCGTAACAAAATTGCTCTGACGCCAATAACTCGATCTCTGTGTGAGACTCTAAGAGACATCAATTTTATAATCGATATGTGTTATATATAGAGGTAATATATTACCATTTGCAAGAGATCCTGCTCTTTAGTCTTACCCACATATTTGAGATTGTAATTTAGGGCTTCTGGCTTGAAACGCCTTGGTATAAATCGATCGCCAAATGTAAATTTCTGTCTGTTGTTGATTTGTTTATTCTAATTGATTGCAATATATATTAGTTAGTTTTTACTTTTGTTTTGATTTTGTTGTTTTTCCACCTGATAAACTTCATTTCGCCAATCCATGCGGCGCTGTTTCATAAAGGGCGGCGCCGAGTTTGGGTCCATCAAAGGATTCTTATTAAAACTTTCACACACATCCATATCGAAGACTAACATTGAACTAATTTCAAATTATTATCCACGCCATATTTAATTATTGATTCGTTTGAGTCTACGATTTCTGCAAAGCTTTACTTAAATAACTGTAATTGCGCTCTCACTCTAGACCTTTGACTCTCAACTGGAGTGAGCATAGAAGTACAGCGTTAATATGCTCATTGTCTCTTGTATTCCCTTTTTTTCACATTCAGGGTAGGCTAGACTACCTGTATACTTTGTATATATAAAATTATAAAATAAATGTATATATAGATATATAAAAGTATTTGTCATAAAAGTCTCCACAGCTGAGATCAGCTTCGGGTGGGAATCAGACCGATTCAAGGTCAAGCCTGGGCTGAGCTGCCTCTGTCGATTTCATGGGTAAAAACGAACTCAGAGCTGTGCTCAAGACTCGAGCTCAATATCGAGCGGGCATCAGAGGTCCCAATATAAAGTCAAGCCAGGCAAGCGCAGCTTCAGTCGATTTCCTGCTTACTTAGTGTGCGGACGTCTAGTGCTCCTCTTCTCCTTCCGGATAAGTGGTAAGTATTTAAATAGTCAGTAATTGTAATTTGTAATATTTATATTCATAGTTATAAGGAGTTCTTTAATAACAATTGGCACTAGTCGATAACTATAGTTATATTATCATAACGTAAATAGTCTATAGAACAACAATTTTGTTTAATATAATTGCTTTACATTTCACTTTCTGTTCTCTATTCTTAAAATATGTTATATATCCAACTAATTTAATTTTATAATTTTATTTATTTTAAAAGATTTGGCGTTTTAAAATACTCTCAGCATACGCCAAATACATATTTGCTAATTCTTATAATTCTTATTGACTAAGTCGCGTGGACCACTTGTTGCCACAGGTTGGGCAGTTGGAGCGGGTACGTAAATACTTTCGTATGCAAAGTCTGTGGATTTTAGTGTTACAATCTGAGCATTTGACGTCCCAGAGCACCAGCTGCTTGCAGAGGGCACATTCCTTGATCGTGTCCGCAAAGTTAGAGCGCAAATAAAACTCGAACTCGACGATGCTGCGTGGACCCAGATAGAGTCTGTCGCCCGACTCCAAGAAGTAACCCATTTCGGTCCATAGTTGGAGCAGCGTTTGCATGCGCAGCTTCTTGGGCGGCTTCGTTGAGCCCTTGAAATCCAAGTCAGAGTACGCCTCGTTCCAGGCTATGTGGCAGTCCTCCTGCTGGGCAAGTTTTTCCAATAGAATGGAAAAATAAAAACATTCTTCTGCTGTCAGACCCGGATGATTTTGTTTATCAGGAGTTGCATCAGTGATAGCAAATACCAAATACTCCTTGCCAGTTACAGGATGAACCATAAAGGTCAACGATTGATTAAGATCTTTTATCGTATTTTCGATGCTCTTTGCGAATTCGTGCAGAGCCTCCTGATTCGCGGGTTTTGTCACTTGATGCTGATCGCAGAGCGGTGTTAATATCTTATTAATTTGATCATGATCAAGACAGCTGTGATTTATACAAGCACGTAAAAATGTCCGTTTTACAATTTCCATGCTATCTTTGAGTAATTAATAATTTTGACTTTGGTAAACAATCCAATTTGATAAAATGCAGAATTGTAAGTTGGGCAAAATAAATCGAAGCGCCTAACCAGGGCTGCAGCGATAGCTACCTGTGGCATGCTATGGTTTACTTCTATATGAGCCAACTCTTACATTAATTGTAATAAACACATTATTTAAATATTTAAGAAATGCATTAATCTATTCTTTTAACTTGTCAAAGTAATTCAAAATCGAAGTCATGATTCGATAATTAAATTATCGATTGATTACCAGCTCAATAACAAAGTAATTCAGCAATTATCGATTACTTTCAGCAATCACGCTTTAAAGGCGGAATGTTTAAAAAGCAAATTTGTTCATGTTGAGTTGGTGTTCACGAATAAAAACAATTGTTCGGTAGTCTTCAATTTTTATTGATTTCAAACTTATAAAGTAATAGCACAACAATTCATATTATCAATGTCTATAAGAGCTTTGCTTTAATTAAAATATTATAGTTATATGTATAGAAAGAGTTAAATAGTCAGAGAATATTAAATTTGAAAACCGAATATCTTAAGTTTTTTAATGCACTTTAATCGTGCAAACAATGCGTATTAAGTATTAAATATACATGAATAAAATATATATTAACAAACTGCCAGATTTTGTATAATTTGAAAACGCCATTACATATCTAAAGCAATTTTAAATATATTTATTTACACTAATTATTGTTCGGCAATTTTGAAAGCATTTTCTATTTCAATACAATTATAAATTTATTATAAAAAAATAAAATAATTCAAAACATTATTTAGTATTATAGTTCCTATAACTTCTTGCCATAAAATCCTAAGAGCCTGATTCTCGTTGATACCGGGCTTTGAACATGCTCCAGGATTTCCATCTAGAGATTTGTGTATGTTGTTTTGGTACGATTTTGAAGAATTGTTTTTATAAATATTTTAAAATTTTTATACATTGATTGGTTTTCATTTCAGATGTTATAAAATGTAGCAGCGATTTCAAATAAAAAAGAAAGGGAATATAATAAAGCTATGAGTATTTTTTCATAAACATTTTACAGTTTATTTATTTTGTTGTTTTCTTTTTCTTTTTTTTTTTTATTTTCATTTTATATGTTCAATTGAATTACACTTTAAGCTAAAAGTATGTATTTTATATCCTTTTATATAGAACAAATACAAATACAAATTAAACGTTCAACAAAATTATGATTAAAGTAACTCATAGATTGTTAACTAGAATCCAAATCACAAAAGTCTTAACAACTAAAAAAAAATGTTTTTAAATAAAAATCTAATTTGTACGCATTAAATTTTCATCTTAAACGAGACCAATTTCATAAATATGTGTGTATGTATATAGCAACAAATCAATTCAGATATGAACATTCCTATGTTCGGTTGTAACCTATAAGAGAAAGTTTTTAAAGTGGTAAAAAAAATCAGAAGTGAAATCATAATTGAATTGAACAAGCAATATAAATACTTTATTAAGTAAATGATAATGAACTTATAATTGTATACTTACATGGTTAGTCGCATGTTAGATTCTAAGAAATAAGATTGTGAGATACATAAATATAAATAATAATTACAGAATACAAAAAGCCTCTTCAATATTTTGTGCTTGTGCCACTAATAGAAATTGCCAAGCAGTCAACCTCAACTTAAAGATTTGCGGGGAGGACAGGGAATACCCCTAACCAGATTATATTTCAAATATTTGTGCGATCGGACAGGCCGACAACAAACATACGTTCACTTATCACGGAAAGTTATCAAGTCTTTCAGAAGTTAACAAAAAAAGGAAAAGATTCAAATTTGACAAATCGAAAGTAAATAATTTTAATAATAACAATAGCAAAATAATCGGAGTAGTTTAATTGGTTGTGTTAAATTCGATTAGGGATTAGATTTGATTCGTTAAGTTCTTTCCAAATGATTACATAAAATTATTAGTAACCAAGCTGAGTTCGTTTGCAATGTGATTAGTTTCATTCAATATATTTGACTATTGTTGTTTTTAAATATGTTGGTTAAGAGAGATGTGTGGAGAGTGTTTCAGTTGGAGAGGCAGATGATAACCGTTAAACCGAATATACATATATAGAAATGGGTAAAAAGTCCGCATGAGTTGTTGTTGTTGTAGTAGTTGTTGTTGTTTATTTATTATTTTGTTAAGATGATTTGAGGGAAAGATATAGAAAGAAAGATGCCGCAGCAAATAAATAAATTAATATTTTGTCGCTGAGAAAGTTACATTTTGCATTTGGTTTCTTTGTACTTATATATTTTGTTTGTTTTTGGTTATTGGTTTGTTGGTTTTTGGTTAGCCATGCAGTTTAAATAGTATGTAATATTAACAAAATATGCATTAAGACTAGAAATCGCTTGGCGTATACAAATTATATAAAAATGAAATATTTTAATTAATAACACAATAATAATGATATACAAAATAAAAGATTCCGGTTTTAAAACCTTCTCAGTTTTTTTTTTTTTGGTTTTGTTTTACAAAAATTAACATTTTTTTTAAAATAAAAGAGTTAAGAACATAAATCACAATCTCGTTTTTAGTACATATACAATATATACATTTATATATACATATACATATACATATATATATATATATATATACGACGTTAGGTAATTTGTAGTATTAGATTTGATATAAACATCGTTTATAACAATGCGTCTACGTGGCCAAAATATCTATTAGATATATATACATATATACGTATGTATAGTTGTCTTTCACTTTGTTCTTGATTTCTTGTTTTTTATAATTATTTGGTTTAGTTAGTTGCTCTTTCTACATGGTATTAGTCTTTGGTGCTTCATTCAAGATTTCTGTAGCTAGCAAGTAGGTTTTGAGTGTCGCCCATGTACCGAATACTTACACGATTTATGGAGTTGCGACGCCCTACAGCAAGGCCATCCTGGCTGAGCCCATTGCCAGTGTCGTTGTCAATGCATATGTCCGAGTCGGAGTCAACTCGTCGAAACTCGCTGCCATCCTGCAAATCAAATGTCTCGAATAAAGCGCTGACTGGAAGCATTTTGTATGAAGAGCTCTTTACTCACCTGCGTCAACTGCTGCGTGGTGGTTAGCAGCCTGGCAATGGGATTACAGCAGACGGGCAATGTCTCCAGCAGAGTGGGCCGCGAGTGCGTCAACAGCGGCTTCATATATCTGTAAGATGGGTCAGCTTGTACTCTTAGTCTTAAGCCATACCTCGACTCCTACTCACTTCGTGTCAAAGTTGCCCCAGATTCGCGCCAGAATCGCCTTCTCGTGGCTGTTGCGCCGTCGTCCGCACGCCGCTGTCGCTGCATTGCCATCGATTGGCGTATCCAAATTCGAGTCAGCGCCACTCGATAGGCGTGCCTTGCCACGTCCACCGCCACCGGTGCCGCCCTCCACGTCCTGTAAATAGCCATCAGACTGAACAGATTTCAACGAAACAGGATTAGCGCTTTGTGTATGTGTAGGAATGTGATTTAAAAGTAAGTACCAACATAAACAAAAACAATAACTATAAAATGCCCATAAGAATACGTAAGCAAACTGACAAAAATAAGATAACTCAATCAATGTATTATGTTTGTAGTGTTTGTTTGTGTGTGTTGTATTATGCACGTGTGGCACAGGGACAAGGGACGAGGGGGAAGCACACAGAAAATTGGAATTGAATGGATTTGTTAGTCAACGTACCGGAGCCGAATGTGAATTGTCCATGGAATTGTAAACCTTTGTAATTTGATAGATGCAAAATGGCATGAATTGCGCAGAATTGTACAAAATAAACAAGTTAGAGAATATGTTGTCAAATGTATAATGATTAAAAGCAGAGAATGAGAAATGCATTATAAGCACAACTTGGCCTTTCTAAGTTGGCAAATACCCTTTAATATTAAAGTAGGTACGGTTTCATATACAGTGTTCCTTTTCTTCTTTAATATGAGCCGAAATATAACTTAGCTAAATCTATCCTTTTTTAATTTTTTAAATTTACATTATTCGTATATCATTAAATATTTTTAGATACATAGATAAATAGAAAGAAGGCAATTTTTAATAAATAAATAAAATAAATAAAAACATTAAAAAAAAAAATAAAATAAATAAATCTCAACCTAAAAGCTTTTGTTTATATAAATACAATACTATAATATAAAAGATAAAGGGCTGCTTTTGAAAATTTAAAACAAATGTATTTTACCAGCAGTTGGACTTTTTTAATTCCTAATTTAAAGAGTTTTAAATTTAAATATTATAATAAAAAATTGAAATATTGCTAAGCTTAAATACAATTATATTTATAGTTTATTTAGCCGTGCTTTCTTTATGTTTTTACCAAAATAAAATTTCCAAAATAAATGTAGTTGCATTTGGCGTAAAGAAAGAAATAAATAATGAACCGAATGAACTGATTGATACTCACACTGTGTACCTGATAATTATTTAGTTGCTCAGTCTCCTCGTCGACGCCAACGCTGCAAATAGGAATTTCTAATTAAGATAAATTTAAGCGGTTTGCATTCTCAACTCACGGTATCTTCAACCAGGTGAGGAAGAAGTTAGCCGCGCCGCCCTGAATGATGACCGTAAATATGACAATCAGCGATGTGGCTGTTAGCATGGTCTGCCGAGCATCGGACACGGTGTTCCTAATGGCCAAGGCAAAGGACATAGCGCCTCGCAAACCTAAATAAAATGTATTTTAATGAACATATAAAAATTCTATTTGTATTGCTCATAAATACCAGCAAAGAAAAGCATGTGTTGGAAATTCGATGAGATTTTTGGTTTGCGCTTAATGTTCAATAGCCAGGATAAAGGATAGACATTGACAGCACGTCCTAGAGCAGCGCAGATCTATACAAGAAATACAAGTTATTTATGAAAATATTATTTACACCTATTTATATCACTCACGAAAGCTGTTATTATGAAGCCTGCATCGAAATGATGCTTAGGAAAGGTGAACATCGAGACGCCAATGTAGGAGAATATAAAGTTCTCGGCCAGAAAGTTGAGCAGCTCAAAGATCTGTTTGGTGCGCTGTCGCGAGTCCTCCGACAAATTGTTGTACGTGTAATGCGCCTGGCAAATGCCGCAAAACAATACAGCAACCACGCCGGTCAGCTCCGTTGCCTCGGCCAACAGAAATGTGCTATAGCTCATGAGCACAAACAGCGCCGACTCCAACAGCGGAAAGTCACGAACACGCGTAAACTTGGTCAAGTGTGGCAGGAGTTAAGGATACAATTCTTATACTAACAACTGAAAAATCAATAATATATATGTTATTTTTTTTTTTTTTTTTTTGTTGAAAAAAGGATATCAATGCCGTAAAACAGCCCATCATAGCGCCAATCATCAGAGACAAGAAGAAGATAGAGAAGAAGTCACTCAACGAGCGCAGAAATGCCGTAGTCTCGAATTCTCCCGTATTCGAATAATGCTCGCCGTAGTTCTGAATGGCCCTGTAAGCATTCGGTAATTAATAATATCATTTTAAATAAGTCAAACGGTATTGTTTCACTTTTTATGACTAACTAAAGCTGATAAAGAAAAATTATAAGCTAAGATGTTTTTATATTTTCATTTAAGGAATTTCCAGCAAAACATTACGCTTAAAAAGAAATATGCGAAAATTGCCCAGTAATTTCTATTGAGATACATATTACTTATAAAGAGTATTTAATGGCGTTAAGAAGGTGAGCATTAATATAGAAATGCCTGTTATCTTTCCAGCTTCTTCATTGACGATAATCTATTTACAAAACTGCGAGATATTTTACAATTCGTCATGTTTCCATACTACTTGAATATGCATAAAGCTTACAATGTGTCATCAGTTGATAGGGGTTTTAAAAATGTTTACATATATAAAATATGATTGAAGTCTGTACTTCTTCTGAATTGACTTCAATTACTTCAATCTATAGTATACTAGAAACATTTCTCTTATATAAATACAAGATATATTATATCAGATTAGATGAAACTCACCCGCTCAGCACGATGGCAACGGCATCGTTCAACACAGATTCGCCCAATACAAGCGCATAGAGATTAACATCGACATGGAGATCGTTGAATATGGCCAGTATAGTGAGCGGATCTGTGGGCGATATCAGCGCCCCAAAATACAGCGTGTCCAGAAATGTGAAACTGCTGCTCAAGTACTTTGGCATCAGTTTCACACAGCCGTACATCAGGCCACCGATTAGGAACGCCGATAAGGTGGTGCCCACAATGGCAAACGTGAGAATTGCGCCCAAGTTGCGAAAGAAGTATTTCTGCAAATGCAATTACGATCACATTACATACATATTATATTGTACATATCCACATAATTACCTTCTTTAGGCTGTAGCCAGCGTAGAATATAATGGGCGGCAATATAATATTGAAGAAGACCTCCGGATCGAATGTGGCCTTCAAATCGATTTCGTTCTCCTCGATATCGTACACCTGTCCACGGAACACGTACGCATATGTCTTCACACCCTCGGGCAGCTTTGTGGAATTCGTTTGATTAACCGGATACTGAACAGAAAAAGAAATTAAACAAATTAAATGACAATAGTCTCTAATTGCATAAGCAAACGTGTTGAGCTGCGCCACGTACCTTGAACCACAGTGTGTCCGGTGGCAATTTGTCATTATAGGTGGGTACGCCCTGCGGCTCCACCTGCATGTGCACCAGGGTGGTGTTTGTGCCCGCATATCGTATGATGGCGCCCACAATTAAGCCTGCAATTGAATGAAAATGAAATTACAGTTAAGTACATGATTTATTTCATTTAAAAGTCTTTTAGTTTGAATAAAATGTTGGAAATTCTAGCTGATAATATTAATAATAAAATACAATTAAATAAGGAAAAGAAGTTTTATATAAGACAGATAGAAAAAACTTGAGTGGAATAATAATATATATACATAGGTCCTTTGGGAACTATATTATATTTCTTATCCCAAAAAATAAATCATTAGCTGATATATAAATCCTTTGGGAACAATATTTTTGTGATTCAAAACCTGGGGCTCAAACCAATCATATACATTTTGAAGCTCATATATAGGCCCTTTGGGAAAGACATGAGTCATATGAGTCAGACCTTGAACAGGGGCAAATATATAAAGGCCGCTATCTGCTGTTCTTCAAAGTAATAATTTTTATATTAAAAGCATTTGAAGTATTTAAATGAAACGAGTCTCAAAACGTCAATCATAGTCGATTCAAAGAGGTTTCTTGCTGGTTTAGGCGTAAGCTCATTTTATTATTGCCTGACCTATCACAAAGCTAGCTTTGACAATGCTACTAATGAATGCGGAGCAGCTGCCGGCTGCATTGTGTCTACATGGGCACATATGTTGATAAGATCGTGTAGAACAAGTATACATATATAACATATACTCTCAAGTTGTTGACTCACTGCACAGTCACAGTCAGAGCACGCTTATCAGTCACAGCACACTTATCAGTTCTGCCAAAAAGTCTTGAGTCTTATCTGAATGGGGTTTATTATTTTATGATGATAGTATTTCATTGCTAATCAAATTTTGTATTATGACTGTGTTCAGATAGGACTGACTAATTAGCATATTTAATTATTTTCATTTTATTAAAAAGAAAAACAAGTAAGAGCGTGCAAGATTGTCGTTGTATTAGATATTATTTCCTGTTTGATTATCGAGGGTATAACTTAGAAATTTGGAATGCATGGTTCTAGAGGTACATATGTTAGTCATCCTAATCGAAAAAAATAAGAATATCGATTTTCATTGTTACTTAGAATTATATTTTAATACAACTGTACAGACGGGCTGACAGATAGGCAGATATAGCCAGATAGACTTTGACAACTTCACTCAATCTAAGTATTTAAATAAATATGTTGACTACATGAAAGGGTTGGACAGACCAGACAAACCGCCTGTTAAATGAATATACATAAAGAATTAGCAAGAATAATGTATATGTATATAAATAACGTGCACAGTAAGCTGTCGGATTAGTTCTAATGTAACTCTACACTTCTGTATAGCGTATATTCCTGGTACCGATAGCAAACTTTATTATTAAAATAATAATAATAATAATAAAAAAAGGTAAAGAAATGCAAAACGCAACGTCGTTTGGGGGAAAACCCAAAGCAAATCAACAAATGCGATTGTATTGGGGGAAAAAAAAAAACAGTTGCAATTCGATATAATAAAAGACCAAGACTTGAACTCTGTTGATTATTGAATATGGCATGTGTTTTTAAATTCATAAGCAGAATCAAAAAATATTAATTATTTATTTATTTTTTTTTTTTTATAGCAATTGGTATTGGCATGCACTCCAAATTAAATGATACTATAAAATGGGATTTACAATTTGATTGCCCCATAAATTGTGTAAAAACTGATTTGATTAGTTGACGTTAGCGAATGGGCACTGTAATCAAAGCATGCACATTTTATAATGGCAAACATGTTGCTGAATCGCAAATTTCGGAGCACAAGTAGAAGCAGAATTCAAGGGAAAAATGAGATAGTACATACAAGAATATTAGCGTAGTCATGTGTAAATAGGGCTTTAAATAACAGGTTCGTATATCAACGAAATATGTGCTTAAAATGCGGGACTTAAAAGCTTTGCTGTTCCGATTGCAAAACCCAATTTGAATTTTTGTGTATATTATAATTTAGGAATCGCACAAATGGTGTAAAAATACGTAATTGCGTATTTAAATATTATATATATAAGCGTATATGTATATATTTATATCATAATATACATACATACATATATTTATCTATTTACGGAGCATATTGCCAATGATAGAGGGACAAAGAGACGGCAATGAAAGCAGCAGGTGACACTGATCGAAGAGGAAGAGCAAAGAGAATTGATGATGAAATTACCAAAACAATGTACGATAATAATAATATAAACCAACAATTAGCATGTGTTTCTGAGTATGTGGGTTACCCAAAGCCAAGTTAGCTAACGTTGCGCTCACTTACCATAAATAACAGCCAATCCAGTCTCATGTAGCCACGAAACGCGATGATGTTTGAATAGCCAAATGGTTAATACAGTTAAGGCTAGCAAAAATACGAATACCAGCAAATCGAGACTTTGAATGCGATGATTGAGCGTCGCCTTGGCATCGAGCGTTATGTCCGTATCGGCTGCACTGCAGCCAGCGATGAGGGCCCACAGCGTGAGCAGACGCAGCGCCCAGCTATTCCAGCTGCCGTTGCAGCAGCGGCGATAAAATGTTGGCCTCGCCTGGCCTGAGTAAGCGTGCATTTTGCACTTGCTGTGTGGCGAAGGTGGATTGAAATTAATTGTACAATTGTACATTAATTAAGTGTGCACAGCAGACTGCTGGCAACAGCAGACGAAAACTGAAATCGATTTTCACGTTACGTTAGTGCGCGCCGCAAATTGATTTGGCGCACAGCTATTGCGGCTTGCGTTTGTGCACACAGGCACTTTGCACGGAGTTCTATCTGTTTTCTCCGTCTTTATCTATTTTTTTTTCTTTTAACTTTTTGTTACATAAAAAATAAATATTTTACACTATTAAAATTGTCACAACAAATTTCTATTTGACATTATGCTCGCCTCTTATACGCTCTTATACTAAGAACAATTACACTACACTGTGCAGAGAAGGTAGTTTCCTTAGAAAGCTGCTGCTTGCATTGCTGTTAATCACAGCTGTTTGTGTAGCTATCGATAGCTATCGATTTTGAAGTCTTGCATCCGATTTTCAGTGCTGTTAAATTTTACGATTATTCTTTGCCTTTTGTTGTGGTTGGCAAATTCTGTTATGTTTTGCGTTAGTATTCTCAACAAAAGACACTCTGAGACGAAACTGATCAATAAAAACAACCAAATTCATTTGTTTTTATTTATTTTTTTTTTCTTTTCTTAGCTATCGGTTTGACTTAAGTACTGTTCTCTCTTATATTTGGCAATAATTTGCATTATTTCCAGCTTTGCGTCTATTTTATAGTCCTCATCCAGTTGATCAAGATCTTGGGCAATCGTCATACCATAATGATAGAAATACGATTTGTGAGCTTTTCTGGGGGTTCGCACTTCTAAGATTGGCGACTCTTTTGGTCTTTTCGGAGCGGATGGCAAAATGGTTTCCTCTTCATTATCAGGCTCATTTAATGGTGGTGAATTTTCAACCGATGGCTCTTCCGTTTTTATGGTAATTGGTGGTTGGCACTCCTGTGTGGCAAGCGGATCATCTTCAGAAAGATCAAAACTACCATCGCTTGCAGTCGGAGGTAGTGCTGTCCTACATGTGCTCACTGCCGATGAGATTTGCTGCGCTCGAGCTGGTGTATCCAGAGCAGAACTCAAGAATGATAATCTTAGTCTAAATTTCCAGGTGGTACTGTAGTTTTCTGCATCTACACCGATCCGTCTCGATTTGCTTTCCTCGAACAAATAGTAAGTTTTCATATTAGTCCATTTCTTTTGTAAAGCTTCTAGAATCAGAAAAATGTTACTTTAATATAATTGCCGCAATATATGTATGTATCTATTTTACCTTTAGTAATTGGTGTGGTCGAAGAAAATCCACCATAGGAGTTAACTTTGTCTGCAAGAAGCGACCAGAATTTCGCCTTTTTTGATTTATATGCGAAGTGTGGATGGGAATGATCCCAAACGAATGGCGCTGCTTTCACATGTTTTATAATATAAAGCAGAATTTCATCGGTCCAAACCACTTTGTTCTTTTTACTCATTTTGTTTATCTATCTTTCGCTACCACTGAAAAATCGATTAGCTTCCGCGACCGATACTTTTTATGTATATCGAAAAAAAAGTGCTTGTGCGCGATATGCACCTCAGTAATGAAGCGGCATTGCAATAAACTACAAACAAATATCAATTTTTGCCAGGATTATTTTTTGTATAGCTTTATAGCTTAAACAAGTAAACCGATCGCATGCAATATATAGTTTAGTTTTTTTTTTATGTACAAAATGTGTGAATCCTAAGCAATATCATGATATATAATTTGTTATTAATAGACAATTATAGTTCTTCCCGTATTCGTAGTATATAATAAATTTAGAGCTCCACTTTGGTCCACTGGCTTCTCATGAATGTTGAATATTCCTTGGCTCCAGCATTATTGTATTTCTCAAAATATGGCAGCTCGCTGAGACGTGCCAGCCAAGCGGTAATCCTCGGATATTTCTGTTCATCAATATCAAAAACTGCAGGCACAGATGAGACAGTGGCAGCACAGCAGAAATCAGCGATGGTCACTGTATCGCCAGCGATGTATGGTTTCTCCAGCAAAGTCTCTGTCAAGCGAAGAGCCCCGTGAACGTTGTCAGTCCGTTCCTTGGTCACCTCAGTGATGCCCCTCATCCAAAACACGCTGCTCACATTCCACAATGCCTTGTAGATGACGCTGGCATCGAAGAACAAGCGCTGATTGACTTCTGTGCGTTTCAACAGATCCTTAGGATACAGTGCATCGGTCTTAGCATACTTCTCGCACAGATATATGCATATGGCATGTGAGTCCGTTACGATTATTCCATTGTCATCCAGCACGGGTACCGTACCTTGTGGATTCATCTTCAAAAATTCCGGAGTACGATTCTCGCCTGTTCCCAAATTGATCACCTTATATTCGAAGGGCACCTCCAGTGCTTTGAGTGTTACTAGACAAGCTCGCACCGGCGGCGACATATCAATACCGTAAAGAACGATGGACATTTTGTTACAAACGTAAACGTATCAACTCGAGCAATTCGACTAAAAGCAATTCGTAGCTGACAAGCCTTATAAACTTGTATGTTTGTGGAATGCAAGTGTGGATCATAAGTGTGCCAAGCTTTTAAATAAGCAAAAAAGGCACATAACGATGATATCGCACTTTCATACCCTCGAAATCTGCTCACACATGATTACAAGGCGTTTGTATTCACGACTAGAAGAGGTTAATATTGGAGCATTATCAAACTAAAATATTGTATTATTGTTGTAATTTAAACTTTAAATGATTGTATTGGAACGCGCTATCATTGTATCAAATGAGTTATATATCTAACTACATATATTTATTTATTTGGACTATAAGTGTATAGGGTATATCATAGTCGCAAACGTATGGAGTCAACAAATTACAAAGAAAATATTTGTTCTCTAATGTTTTCAATTAGGCATCACGTAAACTAAAGAAGAATATTAAAATTAATATTGAGTATAGAGCATTCTCACCTTAACAGATGGTCTTTTGTACACTGTCACGTGTGTCACAAGATATGGTCATCAATTTCGTTATCAATATTAAATTGATTTTATCTTGTCTATTAACCTAGTGTACTTCAATGATTAGAGACCAGGTTTACAAATATAATATTGGTTTTCTTACGGCATAGAAACATTTAGGTGATTTTTAAAAATTCTCAAGCTTCACAAAAATTATGCAAGTTATTGATTTCTGTATTTGATTTATTTAAAAAATACAAATACATCAATTGTTCTTTATCTAAAAATTTTTATCCTAAATACCATTTTATTTTAATTTTTCCCATAACAATATTCAAATTAAATATGCCAACAAAAATTAAAGTCGTATTTGGAATATTATTCAAAATTGGAATCAATTTATTTGAATGATCGATTAGGATGGTCCGGTTGTTAAGAAGACCAAGATCTGTGTTAGCCGCGTCCCGCTTCCTGCGATCTCGATGTAAAACGCGTCTTGTTGTCTGCTCGCAGAACCTACATCACTCTGCTGCTCGGTGCCATTGGCATGACACATGTGAATTTGATGCCTTTCAGTCTGGTCACTGTTCAGGCACAATGTCAGATGGTAAATACGACCAAATCTTCGCCAGTTTTGATTCCATTTTTAGCACTTCGTTCCGTAGTGAGTAAGAATATTCGGAAACAAATTGGCTTGGAGCCGGGCTATTACACGATACCCAAGTGTCGGGCAAATCTGCTGAAGTATACACCAAAGCGTGAGGATTTGCCCAGTCGCAGCATGACTGAATCTTTCACAACGGCGATATTGCCACTGAGTTCGAGTTCGTATCGGGAGCGTTATGTCAACCACTTGCGTCGTGTGCGTATGGGACGACTGATGGAGGAGTTGGACTTGTTTGCGGGTAAGTCAATAGATATGCTGCCAACAACTATACGACGCTTACATATGCCAGGCTCTTAGTATGGATCTGTCATCGTCATACAAGTGTGCCGACTTTGCCTAAGGGCATACCGTTGCCCTATATATTTGTCACGGTGCTGGTCGAGAGCGTGGAATTTTCGAACAGCAATAAGATCTCGGCATCTGAAGACATATCCTTGTGTGGCCATGTCTCGTGGACTGGCATGACTTCCATGGAAATAACCATTTACATGCAGCAAAACTTTCGAACCATCCTCAAAGCCATCTTTGTGGTGGTCGCACGCAATGCAACGAATACAGCATCGGCACCAATCAATCCATTAGCTCCGGCCAACGAGAAGGAGAAAGCGTGCTACTTGGAATCGGTTAAGAGGTCTGAGGCACGCGAACAGAAACACTCAAAGAATGCCCTTTACATCCGACCCACCAAGGAAGACGAGAAGCTAATGTTCGAGATCTTCAAGCGTACCCAGGGCACAAATGCTAATGATATGTATAATCTTGAATTGCCAGCCAATTGCAGATGGATGTCTGAATCGAATCAGACTACCTTGCTACGTGCCTTCCCTGACAATCGCAACTTGCACAATCATATTTTTGGGGGGTTCGTAATGCGGACCGCTGTGGAGATCAGTTCGATTACCGCCTGCCTCTATGCTGGCGGCCGACCACTGATCGAGTGCATCTCGGATGTGGCATTCTATAGTCCACTGAAGGTGAACTCGTTTATCAAATTAACGGCCTACGTGGTCTACACATATAAGAAGTATATTCAGTTGTTGACAATTGTGGAAGTCTTGCAGGAGAACAGTTCGTCGCATTTGACTACAAATGCGTTGTTTCTCATCTACAAGGCTGAGAGAAATGTCCAAGAGGTGCTGCCCATTACGTATGAAGAGTCGTTGTGCTATATAAATGGTCGCAAGAAATTTCGTGCTTTCCAGAAGTTAAGACAGGATCGATTGACCAATTTAAAACAGTTTCAAAAAACCGAAAAGTCTGACAGCCAATAAAAAACACTTTATAAAAGTTATACTTAAAATAACGATTGATCTTCAATTTAATTGCGCATAGAAGCGCTGGATTTGGGCAGTGCTTGCAATCGCTGGCGGCGCTTCGACTCAAACTCTGTGGCTAGGTGCCAGGTTTCCTTATCTAGCGTCACATGACCGCGCGCAATGCCCAGTAGACGCGATAGGACCAATAGACAGTGTAGATCATCGGCATTGCTCTTCACATTCGCCTTGCGCATATCAACAAATTCCTGCTGTATCATTTCCGTGTGTTCCTCGCTAACGCTGAACTGGCCAATCCGCGACATGGTCAAATAGTTACGGAACTGCTGCAAACGTCCTGGCTGCAGATAGTGCAAGGCAGCTTTTAGAGATTCCTCCCATATCTGAATAGACTTTTCATCCGCCTTAAGGGGCAGCACAAAATCGCTCTGCAAATAAAGGACGCATATTAGTGATATACAGAGAGTACTCATAGCAATGCCATACCGGCAGCATGCTACGTCCCTCGCTGAGTACCAGTACCGGAATATCCACATTGTAATCGATTTGATAATACTGAAAGTCACACTTGAGCTGCTGATTGTTAATGAGGTTCGCTAGATGCTGTACGGCATGCACACCATTCGCCTCCAGCTTGCCCTGCTGCATGCGCGTCTCGTCCAGCACCAGATGCGTATGGGGTGCCAGCTGCAACAGTCCAGAGATCAGCTTGTTCGTCTCATAGTCCTTTCTGTGGAACGTAAATGGTTTACTGTTATCCATCAGGATGCAATATAAGTTGTACCTACTTTGGCGTAAAGGCTGACGTGTTCATGGTTTCCAGTGTCATTGGCAGATAGTGGCTAGCAGGTAGCAACAGCTCGAGCACCTCATATAGCTTCGCTGTATACTGCTGCAGACACTCCTTGGGCAGATTGCAGATGTTTAGTGTGAATTTGCCAATGCTCTGCATCTCAGATCGGCTGTAGACTGTAGAAATTAGATGACATAGTAGATACTCGGCAGCAAGCTCGTCGTCAAAGAGGCAAAGTTTGAGCAGCATGCGCAAATCCTTGTGTATGGTCTCCAAAGATTGTGGTGCATGTAGCGCCTCAACTGCAGCGGGTTGCTGCAAGCTCTCGTCCAGCAACGGATTGGCATGACACAAAGACTTGACGGCAAAGGCATGCAAGCGCGGTATTAGAAACGGCGATGGATTCTGTGCCTGCAGCTCGGCTAGGCTTTCCACATCCTTCATAGCCTCAACGTCCAGCGTGGACGCGTCCAATGCTGGATCGACAGATAGAAAGCCGACGAAATCCATCAGCGAGTTTAAGGTATATTTATCAAAGTCCTCATAGACCTTCACCATGCAGGCCATGCTTGGACGATTGGGCAGCGGCGAGTTGATTAGGTAATCAGGGCCAAGCACTGTGGAACTACAACCATTTGTTTCTGTTTGCCTTTCAGCACTTACACATTGCTTTTTGGCTGAGCTAATACCGTTAGACTCATCTGCTTTGTCCACTTCCATATCTTCTTGTTCATCCAACGCACGCTTGACACCATTTCCAGCACTTGGCAACTGTTCAGACTGTGGGTTACACTTCTTCTCGTGCTCCTTAGCCCAGTCATTGAGACCAGGCACTGAGACCACAAACAGTGTACGTCGCTCGCCATGCACATTGTTCTCGGCATTGTAATCCAGCTGTTCATCTTTGCCTAGTCGCAGACAGTCGCGATATTTGCCTGGCTGTAGGCGGGCACTGCCGTCGCCTAATTTCACCTCGTAGCGTTCCAAGTAGATTTCTGGATCCATCATGTCCTGTACCATGCCACGAAAACGTACCAAGCCCTGATCTTTCAATTTGTGCAAAGGTGTGTGATTTAACAGCGGAATAGAGTGCCATTTCGTAGAATCACTGAGTAATTCTTTCCAGCTTGCAATGTCTTGTGCTATCAGTTCTTCTGGAGTGCGTGGTAATTCCATGTTGCAAGGCATTGCGCATATAAACAAATAATTGTTATTGCCGAGTCGCGTGCGCGCCAAATTACAATATTATTGATGGACCAAATTCGATAGTAGTCTACATCAATAATGACAACTCTAATTGCCTGAAATCGAGAAGTTATCGTAATCGTTGCTTGTGTTATCGTAAGTTGTGTTATAGGGCTGCGATGAAACGGATGTAAAGCGGAGTATCCGCAATAGAAATAATGAGCAAAAAGAGCCGAGTTTGGAACTTTTTCTATAAAGAAAGCGATACTGTCGCAATTTGTTGCCTGTGCCACAAAAATTATTCACGCAAGGGTCGCGGCACAACATGTCTCCGAAATCATCTGAAGAGCAAACATCCTGCCGAATTTCTAACGTTATCCGAAAACGACATCAAGTACATGGTGAAAACGGAAATAAATGATAACGCATCCGTTCACACGAACCTGCAATTACACGTAAAAAAAAAGAATACACTTTTCGAAAGAGTTCACTCTAACAATTTCAAATTTTGTTCTTTCCAGGATGCTGATCCATTGGAAGTTCAAACAGTAAGCGACTCAGACGAAAAGTATGCGAGCGATGAGAAATTGGCTTTAATGATAGCCCAGCATGATTACTCCTTTAGCTTGATAAACAGCGTTGGGTTTGTGAACTTTATTAAAGTTCTACAGCCTCGATATGCAATTAATACTGTTAGTTATTATGAAAATATTCTATGTCAAGACATGTATCGGCGGATGCAAACGCAAATGAAACAACAACTCGTCATGTTAGATTCTGTTTCACTGGCCACAAGCATTTCGTGGCGAACTGGTGGCCAAGGCTTGCTTAGCTTAAGTTGTCACGGAATTTCCAATGACTTCCAGTATAAGCAGTTCCACTTGAAATGCGAAGCTCTAGATGGACGGCACACAGAAGATGTCGCTTGTCGCATTCGTACCATAATTTCAAATGTTTGCCAGGAGCTTCAACTACCCAAGGAGAAGATTAGCTGCATTATCAGAGATGAGGGCACCTGCATACCTGGCTCTATAGTAGAGTGCAATGTTCACCTACTGAAGCTTTGTGTAAAATATGCGCTCGAATCAAATGAGCATCTTAAGCAACTAGATGCCAAATGCCTTCAAATTGCGAAACATTTTGAGCAATCTCCCATAGCATACAATCATTTGAAATATATTCATGAAAAGCAATTGAATCGCGAGCCATTACAATTGATGGAACACAACCACAACCACAGCCACTTGGACTGGAACGCGATCTTTCGTTTGAAAAGCCGCATGCTCAGGCTTAAAGATGCTCTCTCACTCTACGCCGAGGAATATAATATGGTAAAGATTTATCCAGATGAGTGGCTGGATATTGATTTAGGTCAACGAGTCATACAGCCGATTGAGGAAATTGTCAATATTTTGAGTGGAACCTCTGCGACAGCCTCCTCAGTCATACCTCTAATAGCCGCACTCCGGGACTCCCTTCGGACAGATGTCCACAATTTTGTGTCTTCAGTGGTTAAGTGAAATACTTAGAATGAATGTAAAAAAAATTTTAATTCCGATTCTCTTACAGACCATTTGCTCGTTTGCGCGAAAGCTGCTCGAGGAGCTGGAATCGAGATGCTCGACAATTACTACGGATATCAAGTACCTGATGGCCACGTATTTGGATCCGCGTTACAAACAAGCATTTTTTACCCATCAGGAAGCACAGTTGGTGACTGAGGAAGTATTGGCACAGCTGTGTCGAACTCACATCCAGCAATGGCAGCCACCAATGAAGATCGCAAAAGTTGCCTCGAATGTTAAAAACGAATCGAAAATCGATTCCTTTCTTGATAATATGCTCACATTATCCAACACGAGTACGGAGGCATCTACATCATTGCATTCGCAATCGCAATCGCAACTGAAAAATCTTTTGTATTTATACAATTCTGAGCCAAGGGTCGAGCGACAAAGCGATCCAATCACTTGGTGGCGATCCAATAATAAATACAGCGCTTTGTTTCCAATTGTTAGGCGCTATCTATCCACGCCAGCCGCCAGCATTGCTAGCGATCGTATTTTCGATATATCTAAGAGTCTATATAGTGATATGCAAGTGGGTCTCTGTCCTGAAAATGTTTCCAAAATATTATTTATTAAAGCAAACTTGAAAGCCCTAGAGCAAGTTTAGTTATATAATATCAATACAGATGAATTTGAGGTATTTAAAGAAAATTTACCTTAAATTATGTTAGCTATATTGTTTAAAGAAAACAATTAAATTTAAGCTTTAATATAAACAATATTCACGCTCAAAATTATTTTGGATTCCAAAAGGAAACAAGTGATTGATGTTTGTTCATTTATTTTTAATTACATATTGAAATAAATTAAATTAAATGAAGATAAAAAACATTTAAATTACCCAAAAATGCTTTTATCGAAGTTTTCTGAAGTTTCCTTGTTCTCAGAAATCCTTTTAAGATTAATATAGTAGAAGCTATTCTTGTTTACTTATTTCTTTTGATTGTACTGTACAAATTTTAAAGAGGATGTTCTGATATGAGACGACCTATAATTAAGTAATTAAATCTAACAAGCATGCGCTGTTCTAATTATTTACAAATATAATTGCTCCACGATAAATAATATAATTGATCGCGATAAACCAACAAACGAGAGCAATATATATATGAATCTGTAGATAGATGAAACATCATTATATTCATATAAAAACAGACAGAAAGACAGGATTATCTTTATTATGTAGTCTCTGAGATTTTTTTAAATTAATAATAAAATTTGTTATAAAGTTTTTTTTTCTATATTTGGATCTATTTATTAGACTTCTTATTTGGGACATAGCGAATAATTGATCATAAAAATTTTGAATGATGGATAGTTATAATAAGGATAACAAATTAAAATGTTCCAGCAGGGAGGATCTGGTCAGGTTGCCGTGGACTTATCTATTAACTAATAGTCATTTTTTTTCTAACTTAACCTTTCAAACTCTCCTAATAGCTCGATACATATGCTAGATTCTCGTTCCACATTCATCCAGCTAAAGGCTCTGATTGTGACAACAATTTTATGTCGCCCATGTAAAGGCAGGCCAGTCATATCGAATATTAAGTTTATAACAAACGGCTCGTATATAAATTTAGTCTGCAAGAAGAATGTAAAATATTTAAAAGTATATTTACATTTAGTAAACTTACTCCGGGGTAAATGCATTCGTCCTTCACATCTTCTTTATTGGTTATAAATTGAGTCCAATACTTATACCAATACTGAGGCTCGTCATACAGAATGGGGCAGATGTCAGTAACGGTCATACCGAAAGGTGTTTGCACCCAGTTTATACGATCGAACTTAAATAACTGAAAGCTCATCTAAATAGAAAGTTTTTTTAGGGTGTTATTTGACTCAAAAAATGCTAACTGAAAATACCAAAACACGATCGCCAGGTTGAATGTTCCACTTAAAGGAAACATTGCCCGAAACTGCTAGTTTATCGTCTTCTCGTGTAAAGGTTAATTCTGATACATCGCACATTTCATAAATGCTAAGGACGTTATATGCAGAATTTTGGCACTCGCTGTAGAACTGATCCTCCTCAGGGACGAACAGGTATTTCAAGGCAATCGATGGCCATGTGAATAAAATCGCGCCGAAAATTGCGTATTGAAACTTTATATGGAACAACATCGTATGATTTTTCGACTCACTTTAGTGTATTGAATCTTAAGCGTTCAGGTTTTTATAGCATTTCATGTAGAAAAGTTTCTTTAGTAGGCAACTCAAATATTTTAAAGCACTTATATATACAATCAGTTAATCTTTAGTCAGTTATATTACCTTAATTAGATTGAACACGAGCTAACTAGTCTGTTACCACCTTTTTCAGGTTAGCTGAAAATAACACGAACTAACACGTGGCTAACAATTGGCTGCTTATTGCATTATATAATTCAATTTCTATTGTATAAAAGTATCACTTTATAGGACAGTAAAATCAATTCGAAAATGATACGCGAATAGTGAAACTATGTGGTTCCAGTTGACGTTTCGAGTGAACGCAGTCCTCTTGCAGATTCTGTTCGCAAGACAGTCGAATGGTCTGAGCTACCGATTCATTCCCGAGGATGATGAGTTCTTAGAAGACTGCGTAAAGCGCCTACAAATGCTCTTTACATTTATGGATTGGTTGACACTTTTCAAACAACCTTAAGATTAAGGTTAAAGTAGCATCGCCAGAAACTGTTATTTTTATCAGGAGCAAGAGTTAAGCAGACATATCATCGGGTTGTTTAATGTTGAGTACACTACATGCATAAATTAAGGATTGGCTTAGGGAACCACATCGCTTTGGATATGGGAGCTTTTACCCCAATGGTAAAATTGTATAACACTGATACTGATCACAATAATTACATGTATAACTAAAAATTTGAAAGAGGATGTCCGGATATGAGTCGAGCTATAATAATGTAAATAAATCTAACACGGTTAAGATAAACACGGCGAATAATTATTGAAACAGCAGTGCTCGAAGGGTTCAAGGGATCTCGTAGTCGAGCAGTCTCGACTAGAGCTTTCTTACTTGTTTTTTTTTTTAAATTCATAATAAAATTTGTTTTAAAGTCTTTTCGTTTATTCTATATTATAATTTATTTATTAGGCTTTTTATTGGGAACATGATGAATAATTCAACACTAACATTTTAAATTAACATATTTTAAGCATTAACAAATGGATAGTTATAATAGGGATACCAAATTAAAGTGATCCAGCGGGGAGGATCTGATTAAGATGCCGTGGACTTATCGGACTTGTCATGTTATTCTAATTTAGCCTTTCAAACTCTCCCACTAGCTCGATACAGATGCTAGATTCTCGTTCCACATTCATCCAGCTAAAGGCTCTGATTGTGACAACAATTTTATGTCGCCCATGTAAAGGCAGTCCAGTAATATCGAATATTAAGTTAATAACAAACGGTTCGTGAATAAATTTAGTCTGCAAGAAAAATGTAAATATTTAGAATAATATTTATAAATATATTCATATTTAGTAAATTTACTCCGGGGTAAAAGCATTTGTCTTTAACATCTTCTTTATTGGTTATAAATTGAGTCCAATACTTATACCAATACTGAGGCTCGTCATACAGAATGGGGCAGATGTCAGGAACGGTCATACCGAAAGGTGTTTGCACCCAGCTTATACGATCGAACTTAAATAACTGAAAGCTCGTCTAAATAGAAAGTCATTTTAGGGATGTTATTTGTCTCAAAAAATGCTAACTGAAAATACCAAAACACGATCGCCAGGTTGAATGTCCCACTTAAAGGATGCATTGCCCGAAACTGCTAGTTTATCGCCTTCTCGTGTAAAGGTTAACTCTGACATATCACTCATTTCATGAACGTTAAGGACGTTATGTGCTGAATTTTGGCACTCGCTGTAGAACTGGTCCTCCTCAGGGACGAACAGGTATTTCAAGGCAATCGATGGCCATGTGAATAAAATCGCGCCGAAAATTGCGTATTGAAACTTTATATGGAACAACATCGTATGATTTTTCGACTCACTTTGGTGTATTGAATCTTAAGCGTTCAGGTTTTTATAGCATTTCATGTAGAAAAGTTACTTTAGTATGCAACTCAAATATTTTATAGCACTTATATATACAATCAGTTAATCTTTAGTCAGTTATATTACCTTAATTAGATTGAACACGAGCTAACTAGTCTGTTACCACCTTTTTCAGGTTAGCTGAAAATAACACGAACTAACACGTGGCTAACAATTGGCTGCTTATTGCATTATATAATTCAATTTCTATTGTATAAAAGTATCACTTTATAGGACAGTAAAATCAATTCGAAAATCAAACGCGAATAGTGAAACTATGTGGTTCCAGTTGACGTTTCGAGTGAACGCAGTCCTCTTGCTGATTCTGTTCGCAAGACAGTCGAATGGTCTGAGCTACCGATTCATTCCCGAGGATGATGAGTTCTTTGAAGACTGCGATAACGCGCCTAGAAATGCTCTGAACATTCATGGATTTGTTGACACTTCTCAAATAAGCTTTACTCGTAATAATGGTATAATTACCGTATCGGGCAATGCTACCACAATCTGGAATATTAAACCTGGGGATCGCATTGAAGTAACTTCGGTTTGCACTAATTGATTATAATTACACTTTTTTTCAGGGTAAGGGTGTCATGTTCCAGTACGATGTGGCATCTGGCAGCCAACACAATTCAGTATGACAGTGCGTGACTGCTGTGCCGTCATATACGACAAGCCGCAGTACTGGTATAAATATTGGACACAACATATAACCAATAGGGAAGAAATAAAGGACCAATGCTTTTACCCCGGAGTACGTATATGCTATACAACAATCTATTTGAGGCTAAAAATTTATATCTTCGCCTTTCAGACCAAAATGATATATGAGCCTTTCGAGATAGACGTTCGAGATAGACGTTATAGTGCAAGGAGCACACCAAGATTTGCGCTTAATAGCCTTGTTCGCCTTTCATTTAAAATTTTTCCAGAAGAGGTGAATACTCGCTCGCTTGTTGCACAGCTTACCGAAATACATAAAATATTTTTTTCCACAATTTAAGGCCCGTTGCCTCCTGCCAAAAACCTAAGATTGACAAGTTTGAATTATAGCGTGTGGCATAATATTTATCAATTTCTAAGTCAATTGTATTTTTGCCAGGTTCGTCAAGTTTTTTTTTTTTTTTTAATTTTATCCAAAAACTCTAGAAATTCATGATTCAAATTGGTCGGAGAGTTTTCAATTCTCGCGTCCTCAATTGAATCATTTTGCATATCATAAATTTCAACCATCATGCTTTAGACGGTCTCCAAAATATGATTTTTTCGGGTTAAACGGGTTGAGCGGCGTAACCCATGCCCGCCCGCACCCAACCCGAAACTCGATTTTTCAGCCCATACCCACGGGTAACCGCGGGTGCCCACGGGTACCCGATAAAAACCCGGCCCGTGCCCACTTCTAATTTAGGGCATTCGACAAGAGAAATGTGCAGCGCGATACTATTATTGGAGAATTCGAAAGGCTAGACTAAAATACACATTGTATATTATATATATATATATATATATATATATATATATATATATATATATATATATATATATATATATATATATATATATATATATATATATATAAATATATAAATATATATATTAAAATTTTACCTATTTTTCAAATGTCAAAAGACCAAATAAAACTAAAATAAAAGTCAAAAGTCCATCTAAGAAAGTTATTCAACGAATTGATTTCCTAAAACATTACAAAACCAGATTCGTTCAGTCCAGTGGCTATGAAAAACCCCTTCCGTTTTGGCATATATTGTGTTAATTACTATGTCCACCAAGAAATTTTAACTAATAAACACGTAAGAAAGCTCTTAGCAGCGGATACCTTTAATCAAAACTTAATTCATATCAAGTGATTCAGCAAAATAAATTTAGAAAATTTTCAAAATGTTACAAATTCTCAATCAAAAGAGACACAAACAATTTTTTTTATTGTATAGTAGTTATTGGTATTGATAGGATAATAAAAAAGTGTTCGCGTCGGAAATAACCGACTTGTAGATACTGTAACATTAATCACTCCAGGCTTTCAATTTATGTACATTAATTGAGTCTTTCAAAGTGTCCCTCTACTTCGATACAGATGCTAGTTTCTCGCTCCACATTCTTCGCGTTAAATGCTTTAATTGTGGCAATAACTTTATGTCGTCCACTTAAAGGCAATCCAGTAAAATCGAATATCAAATTCAGAGAAAAGGGTTCGTGAATTAATTTAGTCTGAAAGACAAAGACAAAAATTACAAACTTCAAATATATTTAAATTTTGTAAACATACTCCAGGGTACATGCATTTGTCCTTCACGTCTTCTTTATTAGTTATATATTTTGTCCAATACTTATACCAGTACTGAGGCTCATCATATAGAAGAGCACACATGTTACGAACTGTCATACCGAATAGTGTTTGCACCCAGGCTATACGATCAAATTTAAATAGCTGAAAGCTCATCTAAATGGAAAGCAAACTGTAAATATATTATTCCAATCTGTGAATGTTGAAGTTAAGTACCTCAATGCGATCTCCTGGTTGAATATTCCACTTATAGGTAGTATTGCCAGACATATAAATTATATCGTCCTGGCGTGAAATTGTGAACTCGGAGGTATTAAACACTCCATAAAAATTAAGAACATTATTTGGTTGATTAGAACAATCATCAAAGAACTCGTCATTTTCAGGAATAAACTGGTATTTCAAGGCATACGATATTTTTACGATGAAAATGAGGAACAACACTGCATAGAGAAACTTTGAAACGAACAACATTGTGTTATTATTAAATTCCAATGGGAATTGATTTTTATCCTTGAATTGAATGGGTTTTTATACACGAAAAACAAGTTGTGTAATGCTGATATTTATCACAATAATTACATATCGACTCAGTTAAATTGCTTCAAATTTGAAAGAGGAGGACCTGATATGTCGATAAGCTATTTGTATTTAATAAGGTTTATGTTCAGTTTTATCATCAATTATAGTAATATAGTTAATTTATGCTTACATTTTCGGTGTAATAAGTTTTCCACTCCATGAATAGGCGAGATAATTGTTAAGTTTTAAATGAGGCAATGACTTTGTGAAAATATATGTAATGTAGATAAGGTGGCGTGGCAGACTCCATAAAGTATTTATATTCTTAATCAGGCCCGTTGATTTAGTCATGCCCGACTGCTATTGTTTTGTCGTTATCTAAAAAGATCGATAAAAGCGACATTTCACTTCGTTTCATTAACGTTAGTTGAATACAGTCAAAGGTAGAGATCTAAAAATTTCTATATGTACATATATTATATGCCCATGTGGTGAAGAGAAAAGCAAATTCACAATAAACATATTTGAAATACTAGAAACTTGTGAGTCGGCTAATAAGGCTAATGAAGAAAGTCCATCTCTGGTTAGACTGCTTATTAAGACGTGCCTTCATCTGCATATGAGTTTAAGGCAACATGATGAAGATGTTTGTCTGCCTATTGTATATACATAGATATATATGTTCGCAAAAATTATGTACGGTGTATATCATCTACAATAATTTGTAATAAAAATAATAATAATAAAATCGATAAACAAGTTCCTTCACATATTCTTTTAGTTTAATTTAATACCCCAAACGATGCAGACGATTAATTTCTGACCATTCAGCGACTCTATCAATATAAACAAGTAAGAACGTTGCAGTTGGGCGTTACCGACTGCGGAATACTCATTCACACCCCATCAGCCATTTAGTAGTTAATTTTCGCTCTAACACTGTAGAAAATGCAGGTTTTCCCGATTTGCCACGCCCCTACTGGGCGTAGACACCTCATTTTTGGTCAGTTCTTAAAACGAGATAACGGTACCTTAACTGCAAAGTTTGAATGCTAGCCCTAAAAATATGTGAAAATTACAGGATATTTTCGATATGCCACACCTCTAAAGAGGCGTAAAAATTATTTTCGGGTCATCGGTAGAGGAGGTTACTAGTAACATAACTATCTAAATTTGAAGCTTCTAGCTATTATTCTTTAGGAGATATAAACTTTTGCGGTTTGCCACGCCCCCTGTGGGCGGACATATACCCGACAAAACTTTTTGGTCTTGGGTGGTCAGCCCGAGTATATAAACAAAATTTGAGGTCTCTGGCATCAATAGTGTCTAAAATATAGCAGAATTAAAGAAATCACTATATCTTCAGGTCTGATTTGCCACGCCCCTAATGGGCGTAGATATAAATTTTTGCCTTTAGACTTTATAGAATCATAGCATTAGCTGATGTGCAAAATTTCAGTGCTCTAGCTGTAAAACTCTTGGAGATACAGTTTTATCCGATTTGCCACGCCCCCGATGGGCGTAGATATATCCGCCATAGCTCGTGATCTTGAGTGGTCGATGCGGATCTATATTTCCAATTTCAGCTTTTTAGCTATTTAATTAATATGATTTCTGGCATATCGGAAAATGCATTTTCCGACAAAAATGGTAAATTGGAAATATTTACATATAATAAACATACGCCAGGGTACACGCATTTGTCCTTCACGTCTTCTTTATTGGTTACATATTTTGTCCAATACTTAGGCTCATCGTATAGAACTAAGCACATGTTATAAACTGTCATGCGGAATGGTGTTCGCACCCAGGCTATACGATTAAATCGAAATAACTGATAGCTCATCTAAATAAAAAGTCAATTGTAATACTGTTATCTCAATGAATATTGAAGAAAAATACCTCAATGCGATCCCCTGGTTGAATATTTCAAATGACTGAGTAGTTGCCCGACATTTGAAAGACATCGTCTTGTTGTGTGATTGTAAATTCAGACATATCAAACAGTCCATAGATATTAAGAACATTATTTGGTTGATTAGAACAACCATCAAAGAACTCATTCTCAGGAACAAATAGATATCTCAAGGCATTAGAAATTCTTATGAGGAAAATGAGGGATAGCACTGCATACAAAAACTTTGATAAGAGCAGCATTATGTTATTAGCAAACTCAATTTGGAATTGCTGTTGGTGCTGTACGTAATGGAGTTTTTATACACAGACAAGCAATTTAGATATACTGATACATACTTACCATAATAATTACATATGGACGTTATTAGAGTGCACCTAATTTGAAAGAGGAGGACCTGATAACGCGATAACACATTAATTATATTTAACAAGGCTAATGTTCAGTTTTATTATTAATTATTACTTATAATTAATTTAATTTTATATTGTATTTCCGTTAAAATAAGCATTTCCCTTAAACGATTCTCATACCTTCAACCCATTGATAGGGTATGCTCTACGCTGGTTTTATGAAAATATATGCAACAAGCTAAAGAGTCGTTCTTAAACAGGATGGAGCTTAGACGATGTAGTTATGACCATCTAGTCATATATATATATATATATACACATATATATTCTCAATAATCTGAACAGTAATCTAAACCTTGTAGGACATAGTGCAATCTTATATATCAAATCAATCTACATGGAGTTATTGTGATAAATATCAGCATTAAATAGCTTGCATTTTAGTGTATAAAAACTCCAATGCATCTACCACAAAAGTCAATTCCAATTTGAGTTTAATAATAACACAATGTTGTTCCGATCAACGTTTCTATACTCAGAGCTATTCCTCATTTCGTTCATTAGAATTTCGAATACCTTAAAATATCTATTTGTTCCTGAAAATGACGAGTTCTTTGATAATTGCTCCAATCAACCAAGCAATGTCCTTAATATTCATGGACTGTTTGATATGTCGCACTTTATAATTAGACGCCAGGACGATATAATTTATATGTCTGGCAATTCTACCTACAACTGGAATATTCAACCACTGGATCGCGTTGAGGTATTTCGTTGAGTGGAATAACATCGTTATAATTAACTGTTTTCATTTAAGGTGAGCTTTCAGCTATTTAAATTTGATCGTATAGCCTGGTTGCAAACACCATTCGGTATGACTATTCGTGACATGTGTCCAGTTCTATTTGATGAGCCTCAGTACTGGTATAAGTATTGGACAAAATATATAACTAATAAGGACGATTTTAAGGGGAAATGTCCTGACCAAGGAGTATGTTTGTAAGTGAAAATAGTATTGCAATTAAAAATGTTTGTTTTTTTTTTTCGTCTTCTAGAAAAACTTATTTTACGAACCATTTTCCTTGAACTTGTTTATCGAATTAACTGGATTGCCTCTAAATGGACGATATAAAGTTGTAATGACAGCTAAGGCCTTTAGCCCGAATAATGAGGAGCGGGAGACTAGTATTTGCGTCGAAGTAGAGGGACAATTTGAAAGACTTAATTAAATTTATATCAAATTACATTTATTTCAAAGTGCTCAAGAAAGAAATAATAAAATTGTCACCTTGCTCTAAATACAAAATAAATATTAGATAATTGCGTCGAAATCGTGGTATAATTTTAATATTTGTAATCATGAAAATTATTTTACTGTATACGGTGATTATATTCAACGCTAAGCTAAAATTAACTTTCTTTTTAGTTATTACATATGTCATTTAGAATAAAATTACAGATTCAATTAAAAACAATTGGAGGAATAAAGACATAAGGCCGTTATACATTTATGAAGACCTTATGATAAATTTAAAAATTGATTACTAATTAAATTCTTATCGATTAATACTTACCGCCATTCCAAAAAACAGACTATTTGTAAAAATTTATTGAAATAGAAATATTTGCTCATATGTATATGTAGCTACATAAATATTATAACAACACTGAACTGGTTAGATATATCTACCATGATGATATGACCACCTCTTTCTAATTGTGCGTAATCAAACAATCATACACAGATATTTATCATTGTTATGAAACCCAATTCATAGCGTATAAAAAGCCCCCATGCATAGGAAAGGGATTTGAAAAGTAAATAGCGCAACGATGTGGATCGGACTATTCGTGATATTGCTGGCAACGCAATCGAGTGGATTTAAATATAAGTTTATTCCTGACAATTATTATATATTCGACGGTTGTCCCAATCAACGAGAGAATGTTCTAAATATATCAGCCATGTTTGATAGTTCCAATTTATCGCTTGCCTCTAATGACGATATAATATCCGTTTCGGGCAGTGTTACCTATATATGGAATATTCAGCGTGGGGATCGTATTTTGGTAACTTTCCAGTGAGCTAAGTTAAATAATATTTGGATCTTATTTTTTTTTTTTTTTTTTTGTTTTGCAGGTTAGCTACCAGTTATATAAGTTTGATCGTATCGCCTGGGTGCAGACAGTATTCGGCATGACTGTGCCTAACATCTGTCCAATTATGTATGATGAGTCTCAGTACTGGTACAAAATTTGGTTACAGCACGTGGTTAACAAGAAAGACGTGAAAGACGAATGCTTTTACCCTAGCGTAGGTTTATTCAACATAAACATATCGTGTGTTTCGAGTAGATGTTTTTACTTTTAATTAAATTACGGCTTCTTCTTGCAGACTAAAATGATTTTTGAGCCGTTTGATATTGACATTTTTCTCGATTTCACCGGATTGCCTTTAAATGGACTCCACAAGATAGTTATAAATTTGAAAGCCTTTGACCATAGGAATGTTCGGCGAGAAACTAGCATTTGCATGGAAATTCGTGGAGAATTTGAAAGGGTATAAATTCAATACGTATTTATAATTGCATGATGTAAATAAATGTGTTATTATCGCAACAGTTGTAGTTTAACTGGATCGTAATAGTTCATAGATATAATACAGAAGCGAGTGAATCACATATTATTCTAGTATCAGCGCCTTTTATGGCCTTCAATACATTTCACAGACTAGCCTAATATTCAAGTTCGAATTCTGATATGCATCACTCAACCCTATCATCGACTTAACTTAAAGATATCATACATCATACCATTTAGTTAAGTTACACAATTAAAGTTTATTCTGAATAGTTCTTAAAATAATTTGTATTTAATTTCTTTCGATGATCTCAGCCTCTATAATCGGGATCATTGTGTTCGTCTTCGTCTTCCTCCTCCTCGTCATCTTCATCTAAATAAGAATTGGAATTCGTGTTTTACTTCAAAGCAAGCGTTGATTAACTTCGAACTTCTTACCATGATCTCTTCGCTTGCGCGTGTACGCTCTCCGAGTGACCACCGGCGCCTGATCCGTTTCGCCGTGCAGCAAGGAATTACGATACAATATTAGGGGCTGCCACTCCTCCGCACGACTCGACGGCATGCCCGGCGGTATGACCTTGTCCAAGAAGGCCATTATCACCTTCTTATCTTGCTTTAGCAATTTGTAGTTGAATTCATTGAGCACCTCCAGAAACAGAATGCGCGTTGGTGCACGGACTGGATCATCGGGCTGTTTATTGGCAGCAAAGTAAATGCCGCCCCGATGTATGGCAGCAACCGACTCGCGATTCTTAAGGGCATCAAACCCGAATGTAAGCGCAAACCGCTTAGCCAACTCCTTCAGATCGATAAACTCCTGTGAACTCTTTGATACAATACCATCATCACTTTGCTCTTGCAGGCTCTTAAACACTGTAATTAAACTCAGCAAGAGCGTCATGGCAAAGTTAACCTTATTGATTTCTCGCGCCTTTCCCAGCGTAGCCTTAATAATATCGCCGTACTCGTTATAGCACTTTAATTGTAAGGGAAAGGAAGTTGAGATTAATGTCAGGAAAAACCTTTATACTATATATACTAATTAGATTAGGAGAAGAATCTTTGGAGTTATAAAATTATCTGTACCTTTACATAATATTTGAATATACTTGCTGCTCGCATTGTCGGTATTATGTTGTAGACAATTAGTTTACAGTAGCAGGCCAAAAAGTTTCGTTTTTTATGTAACTCCTCGATGCGGGTTTCATCCTGGGCAACAACCTGTTTCAGCGAGAACACGTAGTGCTGCACAAAATTGTCTAAGATGAGATGTTCGTCCATGCGCGACTTGTATTCTAAGCTGCGTATATGCTCATTCTCGCTGCGCGCCAACTGATCTGAGTAAATGATGAGCAGATCACAGATGGACTGGTAAGCCTGTCAAAAAATAAATCTCTCATGGAACGACCGTTAATTAAAAGTAATCTTATACGCACAGCTTCTTGAATTTGGACAGTGGGCCCGTCTCGGGTCAGCTCAAAGCAAGCGGACATAAAATTGTCTAAATTGCTGCGCAGCTCAGCTACAACCTCAGCCACATTCAACGCTTCGCAGTCATTCTCAACGTAGTAGAGGCCCCAGCTAATCGAGAAGTAGCAGGCCTCAATGCAATACGCCAGCGCCTCATTGGGTAGACAACGTTCAACATTGTCCTTACACTGCGCCTCCTCAACGTCACGAAACAGAGATTTAAATAAATCCCACGAATTCAGATTGTGCGACGAATACAAAATGGACAACACTTTTAGTGCTATGGTTATATTATAGATGTCATCCTCGTTAGGTGTCTCCTCGCCTGAAATAATAATCAAATTAAATTAGTGGAGTTAATACTCAATCGATCATCTTTCAAATAGTTTCTCGTATACAATATAAAATGAGTATTCACCTAAAATAAGATTTCGCCACTCGACGATGGTATCCTTGTACTTGTTGACCGCACTCTCGATGATATTGGAGCGGGCAATGTTGCAGCGAGTGTACGTAGCGCTTCCTTCGGCGCAGAGGCATTCCAGGGTCTTGGCGCAGGTCTCGAGGACATCGCGACCGGTGTGCATACACATTACTTGACTAATCTTATCCAGCAGTGCCTGCAAGTTGCCCTCCTGCCGATTGGTGGTGTACAGATTGAGGTCAAAGTACTGCGGCACTGCCAACAAATTGGCCAGCTTTTCGCTGTCTGCCTGGTACTTTTCCAAAAGAGCCGGCAGTGTCACAATGAAATGCTCTGTCAACTTGACCTTTTCATCCTGTATGGCTTTTAACTCCTTAGAGCTAAGTGTAAACTTGCGATTGCTGGCACGTCCCACGGGCACCTCACCCGTCGCGGATTGCTTAACGCTGCTCACCATGATTTCGATCAATGTAGATTCCTGTTTGTTGTCGAGCACCTCCTCATTGGGACCTGGCTCCTCCAGCAACAGATCAGTCATACATTCCCAATCGCGCACCATATCATTGCTATCTATGAAGGAGTCCACCAAATAGGCGCCGTGCTCGTGCAGCTCTGATTCAATGAAGAATTGCACGAGATCTCGAATCAGTGGTGTATTGGGCAGACGCAATTTACCACGCTTTGTCTTCGTTTCTTCCATGTCGGCGGTTAGGTGAAACAAACGCACATTAAGAAACTCTGCAGCAGCCTGAGCAACACCTCGATGCGAGGAGTAGACCAGCTCATAGACAATCTCACAATCCTTATCAGCCAAAATCTCCGGATGTATTCTATAAGAGATCCATTACATTCATATATACATAATTCAATTACGCCTTGAAACTCACTTTAGTATGCTGATAACCAGCTTAACGGCATGCACAGACACCTCGAATTCCTTGTCCAGTGTCATGGCTACAATTCTGTCTTTAAATTTGGACGTAAACAACTCCAGTTTGCCTTTTAGCTCATCTTTGTCATAGAGGGGCAGCAGCGATTGGAGACAGCGTAGACGCACTTCACCAATTTTATCGTGCAGCGTCCAGCCAATATATTTCAAATATGAATCGTCCAGGAAATTTTGCGGATAATTTTCCATCCATATGCCAATCTCAGCCATACAAATGGCTCGTATATCTGGCAGAGTATCTCTGTAGCGATGTACAAATACCGACTTAAACATGTAGGTTAACATGCTTTTGATCTCATCCATATTCTCTTCTAACTCCGAGCGTTTTGTCATCAGCGAGTCCAAGCGATCCGATGCGCGACGATCCCGTGACTAAAATACATGATAACTATTATACCTGGATGCCTAACTCAAATTTAAAGATTTGCTTACTTTAACGCGCTCAGCTTCAAATTGTTTGGCTGCATTTTCGAAATTATTCGATACGAGAAGAGCAACATCCACCAATGCCGTCATTAATTTCATTGCAGCCAATGTTGCGGTGTGACGAAAAGCGCGTACTTGTGAATCGGACAAACCCGTCAGTAGCGAGATCACATTGTCCATTAAGAACTGATCATAAATTATGGAATACTGACATTGTTTAACAAGCGTTTGCACGAAGTCACAAAAATTATTTTTGAACTTCTTCCACTGTGTGCCGGTCATAATCAATGGATACTCGCCGCTTTCCTAAATAAAAAATTTATATTTTAGCCGCTTTCGTTCAATTCATTTAAATGCTTACTTACCTCATCAAATTCTTCCGTCATGCGACGAATGATAGCCGTATGGTCAACAGGATATTGTATATCCTCTGATATTTTTCCTTTGCAACCGCTTGCATTTATAAAGAACTGCATCAAGGCAACAAGTGCTGTTTCCCGATTCGCTTTGTACTGTCCAATCCATTGATCAACAATGCTCTGCATTTAGAATAGATTTGATTGTTATTAAAGATGGCTGAGGGAAATCTCAATTGCTCAACTAATTTCTCTCCCAGTGAAAGGACATTTATCTCTCTCTCCCATACACACATACACATACGTCCACATAAATATTTACCGCAATTGGATTCTTTGAGTGTCGAACAATATAGTATAAACTGTTCTCATCGGTTGTAATTTCACGCTCGTTGTCGATACGTTCGTGGTGCGCCTTCTCCACTGGCTCTTTGCGCGGCCGCTCAATGCGCTCCTTTCGCTCCGCTGGCGGTTTGCGTGTTTGTGGTGTCTTTCGTTTGCGTGAAACGGGCGCAAAAAACTCATCCTCGTCGTCATCGATGATTGGCGGTTTGTCACGGACGCCACCACGTGCACGCAGTCGCGTCATGCGCTTGGTGGGGCTGTCTGCATCAGATGTACTTTCATTTAAAGCATCACTGTTTAAAAAAACAATTTCCCATAAAAAAATGCAACGATACTGAATTCGATTTTGCGTTTTACCTGTGCATTTCGTCGTATTCTGGAGCCGGAGGCGGATCATCCATACGTATGCGCTTTCCACCGCGGCGCGCCATCATTATGATATATGAACTGGTCTTTTTAATAATTAATTGTTATTTTTCTGATAATAAAATTTCTTTGGCGTCTTGGCAAACAACAAATAGTGATGATAGCGAAAAGCCACCAATACTATCGGAAGAGATATCGATATTTACAGCGAAACAAAGAGATACAGCATTTGTTTATATTTTTTGCGGCGAATTGGTAACTCGCAGGCCTATCGAATAGGAGTATCGATACTACACCACTAAAAGAAGAAGCGTCTGTTTTGTTTTTTCGAGCAGATAAAAATAAACAATTCAATACTTTTTAATAATAGCAATTAAATATGACTGAATTTAGTGCGGAGTCAGGCGGACGATTAAAAGGCGTAACAATTGTAAAGCCAATTGTGTACGGCAATAAAGCACGCTCCTTTGGCAAAAAGCGAGAGGAGGACGGACACACGCATCAATGGCAGGTTTATCTGAAGCCCTATTATGACGAGGATATGTCGATTTATGTAAAGAAAGTACACTTCAAACTGCACGAAAGCTATGCAAATCCGAATCGCATTGTTGTCAAACCGCCATACGAAATTACGGAAACCGGCTGGGGTGAATTTGAGGTTGTTATCAAAATCTACTTTAATGACCCATCCGAACGGCCT